TCGCCATACGTATTGTACATAGTAGGGTCTGATAACTCAAGCAGGCGGTCGACTTTGAGTTCGCATATATTTTGCATGAGTATACGGTATATGGCGTATACACATAGCAGCGTACGGGCTTTTAAAAAGTCGATGATGTAACGCGGCCATCTTCAAAAATATACCCGCGAGAATGATTTTCATCGCGCCTTGTAGGGCTATACGCGGAGCCCCCCGAGATCGGAAGTATTTCCGATATACACTCGTAAAAATAATAAATAGTTCGCGCGCTCTTTTATAGATTTGTCTATTTTTTTTTATCTAGGCAAATGTTCATACACGCATGTAGTAGTATACCACTGGCCGTGCATGGCAAAAGCCGCGAGCTTCGCATATATACAGTACTGCGTATGCACGGCGCACAGCTGGTAACCGCCGGCATAGCAGCCGATTTATGACGAGGCAAGAAATTAATAGCGAGGTAATTGACTCTTTCGAGCGAATCGCGCTCGCGCGCCTGCTCATATTGTGCATAAATATACGTATAGATGCACGCATTTCTCGGCCCTCACAAGAGTGAGAAAAGAGAGAGAGAGAGAGAGAGAGAGAAAGACAAAGTATGCGCGCGTAAGGATGTGCATCAGTCGCTTACACTACTACTACGAGCTGAGAACGCATATAGCACGTCGTCATCGCCATAGGCGCGTAATTCTGTTAACCCTTTTTCTTTTTCTCGCGTTTCCAACTTTGTTGCGCGCCCGTCTTGTACGTACATGCATGTGCACTCGCGAGTCCTCGAGTGCAGGCTACTGCGCCGCCGAGCGCTGCAGTTGGGATTCTGAAATAGACCAGTCGAGCGAGTACGCGGAGCATAAATATCGTACGCACATATACGCACGCGACAACAAGGAGACGAGCCGTTGATTACGTTTTGTTCGCTTGTACACTTTGCGCGGTGTGCATAATGTATAATAATGCAGATCTGCGGCGCATCGCGATCCTATCGGGCCCCGCGTGTCTGCATTGCACTTAATTCAATGTTTCCGAGTCATGATCTCGGCACGAGCTGACGTATGTGTGTGTGCGTATATATATAATTTATGTACGCCACTGATGCTGCTGCTGCTGCTGCTGCGGCGTCACGACAATCGTTGCGCGCGGAGCACCGCACCACCATGCGAGCGATAAATTTAAATGCCTCGATCTGCAGTCCAACCAAGCGTGATATTATGTACGCTCCAAGTATTTTCTTGATGAGTCATGATTAATCAGTGCGGCTTTGCGTGGAAAATGTCAAAACTTGGCCCAAATCTTTTGATACATTAGAGTCAAGTATTGAACTCGAAGAGATTTGAAAAAGCTTATTTTCGTTAAATATATTTAGTCAATAAGTATCAATAAAAGCTTGCTTTAAGCCTTATTTGGTGAATTTTTTGCCAGATTTCCTCATTTTCATATTTTTTTCACACCAGCGGCCCGAAAGTGACTACTTCCCTGCCGCTGCGCAAAGCGGGAAGAGCGATTTTCGGGCCACTGTGTACGAAAAATAGTATACAGGCCTATGCCGCGAAAAAAGAAAGCCCCAGAGCACGTGTTTATCAGCCTCGGCTTCGCCTCGGCCACTAATTACACGTACTCTGGGACTTTTCTGTTTTTCGCGGCCTAGGGCAGTAATATACTATTTCTCAATTCAGGTCCGTTTCAAACTCACTTTTATACGCCAGACCTGTTTAGGACCGCACGAACAAGCATGCGAAAATGTACAATCGATTTGGCTTGCTTACAGTAAGAAGATGTAAAAAATTTATACCGCCAGGTGGCGATGCTCAAACTTATGTTAAAATTAATCAGGTGTTTGCTATATACACTACCCTTGAGCATTGCTTAGTTCAATGACAATTGGTTTTCCCGCCATCAAAAGTGCAATAACATCAAGTATCACTATATACTAATGAAAAAATAATTCCCTTCGCATCTGTATTGAGTAAAATTTAATATTCTATCTTTGATATATGTGATGTACTCATTATTCAAACACATGAAACAATTTTAATTTTTTTTTTTCATTTCTTATCTATTTTAAAATCCATCCCAGTTACGATGCATACGAGCGAGCCTCGAAAGCTTATCCCGCGATACATTACGCGCAAGCTCCAAGAAATGAAAATATGGCGTTGAGCGCGGATTATATACGCCCGAAAATGCGCGTGTGCATGTGCGAGCGTGCGCATGCATGCGTTATACGCTCGTATATATATCTCGGAGCGGACACACGCTTTTACACAAGTCGAGCGAGAAAAACGAAAATAACGCGAGCGAGCGAGCTTTTGCGCGGTACACACGAGTGGGAGGCGAGCGCGCGCGCGGGGTTATTTCGAGACGTATACAGCGGCAGCAACACACACACACACGGCGGTGCCTTTCGCGCGTTCGCGTTCGTCGATCCGAGCTGCCTCGCCTTATTTGGAATAAGAAAACATTGCGGAGTTGCCTAACTTTCGCGCGCGCGTAAGAGAGAGAGGGACGATATATAATTTGGTACACACACACACACACACACACACACACACACAGAACTCGCAGCGGCCCATCTCGTAAAATATACTTTGTGCTTGCAACGTACCACCCTTCTCGGTCGCGATCGTCTCTGCATATTATCGTATCGTTCGTGCTCGAGCATACGTAAACAAAAGGCCTCGGCCTGCAGCATAAAACGATGTACAATACGAGCGAAGTGATTTTTGCGAGAAATCGTTTGGCTAATTTAAAGCTCGTTTGACTTGCGCGAACGAGTTGCGTAATTCACGTCACAATTACACGCGCGCTCGGTGCGGCCAATTCATGCTGCACACACTGCTCTTACGTACGCATTGTTTTCGCCATCTATCCTCCTACCGCCGTGCGCGTATACTTGATCATCGATTCGTGCGCGTATGTGATGTACGTACTTGCGTGCGCATCGATCTCACTGCAATTTAAATCGACTCTTGTAGTATGAATCGCATCTCTCGTCTTACTTATACATCAGTTGAACGTGCATCCCACACACTAATACACACGCATACTTGCATCGAGACTTGTATACGCGCGTCGCGATACGGGAGTATTATTGGCATTGAACTCGATGCATTATAAGCGCACACGAGAGAGGCGGTGGCATATACACACACACATGCCCAGACTCTCTTTACGTTTTAATTGATTGTACCTGCCATACGCACTTTGTAGTTTGTAGTCGATACGCACGATCCCATGTGCTATCGTGCATCGTCGTGCGCATACTTGCACACGCGCGGCAGTAGGCTCGACTTTTGCGCGCACGGCCTCAAAGAAACTCTCTCGCGTATATATGGCGTCATTTATCAACGCGAGCCGAGCCGAGCCGAGTGCATATTATGTGTGCGTATGTATATTAAGTACCGTCCGGAGAGCAGCAGCTCGATCGGAAAATTTGATTACGAAACGAGAGACGCGCGCACATGCACTCGAGCGCATGCGAGCATCCATATGCACCCATGTATAATATCGCTGTATACTGTACACCACCACGTGTAATCGTCTTTTTTTTTGGCAACTATATAAGTCATTCGTATACGTATCGCGAGGATATGCACGAGCAGCTGGTCTAACAGGTTTTCTTCTCTCTCTCTCTCTCTCTCTCTCTTATGTGCGCGTATGACCGCATTAATTTTAAATGATTTTCGCGCTTGCGATTAAAAGCCTGAGCGCTGTGATATAGGTACGCCTGCTGTGCATCCACGATATCCCTGTATATAATAGCTTAATAATAACGCGAGCGCTTCGCTAGTCTTCCGTTCACCCGTTTTTTTGTTTTCACTCGTGACTTTTCTCACAAGCGTTATAAACTTATAATCGATAATACGTATTGCACTCGCAGCAGAAATTCCATAGTTTCGTGTCGTGAGCTTTTTTTTGAAAATAATCACGCCTGTGCACGTTTGCGATCCATGCAAATATGTTTTTGCAGTTGATATGTTATGGAGAATCTCAATTTGCAATCGGTGCGCCAGTGATATTTATTGTAGATAAAAAAATAAAATGAAAAAAGAAACAAGCTACACATGCAACAAGCGAGTCTCTACGCAAGCTCTTGGTCGTGCACAAATATGTACAAGCGCCCGAGAACGAGCGAAAAAAAAGGTTTACGGTGTTGTACACGTCGAAACTCTAGATAGAGTCGCTAGTTTTAGCGCGTATTAATAATTTACACCTTGTACGCGTGCCAACTTCGCGACACTCATACGTGTACAATAATATATCATATGCCTACGGGAGAAGTGCGCGAGGGACGAGCATCTGTGCAAGACCCAGAGCAAGAAATTTGTAATTTAACCAAGTTTTACTTTGTCCACATATGTTCGCTCGGTACAATATAATTATGCTCTTGTATCGATTCGAAAATTAGCTTATAAAATGAATTAATGCGTAATACATTCCTCGGCGAGAGTAGCGCGTAAGTCTATTTTTGTATACATTCAAACCCAGTGTTGAAAAAACTCGCGGGCTAGCCTAGGCTCCAGAAATAGAAAAATCATCAAATATTATGTGTATACCACGTGAACCATAATAGCAGATACATGGCTTTTTTCGTTACTGCGGATGGTAACACCAAGAGTTCAGCTAACTCTTTTCTCTTTATTACTTTTCAAGAGCATGGCTTAAAAATCGAACGCTGCTATTATTAGGTCGGTTTTATATAAATTTGGCTTTTATTAGATTTGACCGGAGATATGAACGTTACATAATTCATTCATGGGAATGCTCGAATTTGTCAACTGATGATGGCAGCGTATTTCATAATATTAAAATTTTAATTCAATTTAATTAAAGGTATTATTGCAATGAATAAAGAATACGTTTCAATCATGAAGCCATAGCCTGATTTTAAGATATTAATAAATAACTTGTAACTTTGCCGGAGAAAATTGAACCCAACAAAGCCCAGTAAATAAAAGTATATAAGAATTTACTCTTATCAACCGGTGGGATATCCGGTGAATTATAGAGCAAATGAGAACTGCTCGATTGCGCACAAACGTATTGCACGTAATATAGTTGCGGTTTTTATAGAATTTCATAATTTTTTTCCGGGCTGTAGATGTACATGCATTTTAGAGAAATTGTTATCGTTTGTAATTCTTTTTTAATAATTATTAACACATTTTTTCAAATACTTAGTAAGTGTGCCACGCTCATCACTTCCGCGGGGAACAAGTAACGAAGACCGGTTTTGTCTAAGAATGATGAGACTTCGCACATGTAAGAGTACCCGTGCAAGTGCCCCGATTTGGTGACTTCGTTGCTCGATACGTCAACTTCAGCTGGGAGTGGCAGGACTTTCTTGCAAAACTGATGTTTATCCAGTTGATCGTCGCGGAGATAAGGGTTGTTCACGGTGACGAATACGACGCCGGATTTTGTGCTCGGCTCCACGACTATTTTAAAGGTGTAAAGCGGCACCGGCAAATTCTTGTCGATTACTTTTTTCTCTCGTCCCTTTTTATCCTTCTCCGTGTGCTCGTGAACGCTCAAATAAACGTCTTTGTCTTTTTTAGTTTCGTCGTCTTCCAACTTCAACTGATCGGGACTGGTGCCCGTGTAGGTATTCAAAACTTTGCCCAAACTGACGGCCATTTTTCGAACGTACTCTTCGATTTTATTCCAATTGGACCTGTTGATGATGTGCCATTGCGGATGCGTGTTCAGATAGATGTACGTTGCACGTGCCGCTGGAGCGTACACCATGTCTGCCCTAGCCACCAAGTGCCCGCGACTGAAAATCAAATCTTGGCCATTCTGAATGTAGACATTTTTCGGGAATTCCGTCTCGAAAGATTGTTCTTGCGAAGCGAAATAGTAAAAATAATCTAGAGACTTGGGACCGTTGACCTGCATAAAAGTCGGTGAAAATTTGAGCGGTGTGCCATCGTCGTTAACGTTTTCGAAATGTTGGAAAGCTGCCTCTTTGGGAACTGTGCTCTTTACGAAACTAGTCCTTTGCTTTTTAATATTATGATGAACTTGCATGAGCGTCAGATAAGTACCACCGACGTCCGTTTTAAAGCATACATTGAACTGATTATTGTCTCCTTTTTTATCGACTGACAGGATCTCATATTGGGGTGTCTTGTCGCACAGCAGCTCGTCGAACAGATATCTTTTGCCCTCGAGAAAGAACTTGTCGTCGCATAGACAAGTGGCCGTCGAGTACTGCTTTTTAATTTTAGCAAATTTGTTACCCGTTCCGGAGCAGGCAAGATGAATATGTTGCTTTTGTTTCAAGTGAACGTTACCGAATTTGTCCGGATAAACGAACTTGGTATGATCGGTAGAGTCGATGAGGAGCGCGTGCCTCGATTGCATATGTTTTACGTTGACTTTGCATTCTGGTTGCGACGTTTTGCACTGGGCTTTGATCTCTTTATCGATTGATCCCGAAGATTTAGGGGCATCGACGTGGCCAGATTGCTTAGGAGGTTTCCCTTTCCGCTAAAAATATTGACATATTCCAATAATCATGCACTCTTTGTATCAAAACCGAATACTTACTATTGGCGGCGGTGATGCTCGCAAAGAATGTGTAATCACGCAAAAAAACACGAACAGTGCTAAAATATCGATGGATTTAGCCATGTATGAAATTAATACTTAATTATAAACTCGAATGGATTAAAATTTGAAAAAATGACTCTCCACGAATAAAACGTTTGTTAAAATCCGTCTTAAAAAGAGTGAAAAGCACTGTTAAAGCGTTGTGAATTTATGCAAGGCAAAAATCGTGAGTGAAAATTTATCGATTGACGTCATTATTTTTATTTTTTCATTATGTAATGAGTCTTTATTAGCTTACGACTTAAATTTCTATTAAATTTTGTAGCATACGTTTAATTTTCTCAATAAGTTTCTTTTATTTGTCAAGTTGCTCTTCAAGGATAAAAGTCTATGCGATTGACAATACAATAAATGTCAATTAACCGTGGGCTTATTATATATTAACCGAATTCTGGAGTCATGTTTGGTCTGTGCGTCGAGTAACGATACACTAATATTATACGTCAATTTTCCTTAAAATATTTTTTGAAGTGAAACTTTTTCTAGCGTGTTGGTTAGAATAGTAAGAATATTATGCGCTCTCAAACTTCTTTCAATAACACCATAAATCGTCTGTTTAAAATTCACAATTAGCGAAAATATTTGCGTTCTCTGACCGTCAAAAATAATTCAAATTATTATTTTTTGACAATATCTCACTTGATTGAGTCAATTCGATTGTTGCACGGAATAAAAAGTAATGAATGAGAACGTAAACGACAGATCTTAGTAAACGAGATCGATTTATTTTTCAGAGTACCGAAATCGTTGTAAACTCGAACTGATACGTTTTACGATGATCAAATTCATAATTAGTATCGCATAGATTATTCAAAGAAAGAGATATTGACATTCATTAGAAAAAGTAAAATACACCGAGCATTATATTATCCACTCGTTTGGACGAAGCCGCTCTCGCCTATGCCTGTGCAACTTATCACATAGAGGCGGCTACGACGACGACGACGGCTGCTACGGTGCATATATAGCTTATATCAGTGCGGCTGTAGCTGTTACTACGCTTCGCATGGCATCTGCATAGTTGGACATGCTCGGCATCGCGATATAACTGCAGCCTCTCTCTCTCTCTCTTCGCCGCAGTCCGCATGATGCGCGGCTCCTTACGTAGCGCACACACATTTTGCTGCCCTGCCCGAGCGCGCGAACTGCGGCTACTTCTTTAATATACCGTGGCACACGAGCCCTCGCCTTATATATTTTGCTCCGCTACGTGAGCACACACACACACGCGCACATACACAGCAGACACAGACACGATCCAGGCTCGCGTGCGAAAAGTGTATCGAGCAACACAGCCGAGTATATCAACGTTTCGCTTGGATCTTTTTCTCTTTGTTAATGCATTTGGCGCACGACAACGAGCTTTTCGACTCTGGAATTGTGTGCACGCGCGTGCTGCCTCGGCTCTTTAAGCACGACGCGTTGTGACCGAGAGTTCGAAATCAAAGCGCGTCGCTTTGTTTCAAGAGAGAAAGAATATATGAATTTGTTTTTAAGGACTCAAACCCTTTGTTATAGGTTTCTACAATAATTTTATAATGTTATAAGAAAGAATTTTATTTTATTGAGGATTACAACGAGCAAAAAGCTCTCGTATACGCAGTTACGGCGCGATGATCGAGCTATATTTCGTAAAGGCAAAAACAACAAGGAGTCTCCTCTCTCGTCATTACGTTTCCACGCGGGTGTACGAAGCGCGTCACGCCTCGGAAATCGGCTAAACGCGAAGCCTATATAAAATACTATGTACGCAGAACTGCGCATCGTTGTTTATTTGTTGAGACTTCGCGCGTAAAAGCCCATAAGAACGCGAGGTGGAAATATTCCAAGCCGATCCGATTCACGCGACGATCAACGAAAATAAAGCAAAATCGATTGTGTGATAGATTTACGATTATATAAGCCCAGACGAAGCGCGTACGCGCGCGCTCGGTGCGGCACGTAAAATTAGTTGCACATTTCGCCGAGTGGAATTTTAATGAAAATTTGAAAAATCTGTTGCACTCGCGAACCCTATACCGGCGATAAGCCTATATCCCTATATAAACTGCGCCTTTACTTACTAGCTGCGTAAAATAAAAAAAAGTTTTAATGCCTTTTTCCTATATCTGCTCGCTGATAGACCTTTGGTAGGTGTACTGCGTGTTCGGATAATGGCATACAAGTCGCTAGTATATGTACACGCTCGCGTGCTGTGTGTGTGTTCTCGAGCACTTTCGTCATACCTCGACTGTCTCGGGCGAAAATTGATTGTAATACCCGAGCATCATTTTATTAATGAAGAGTAAGTAGAAGCAGTGGAGAAAAAAAAATAGACGCAGAGAGAATCCTAATTAACGTTGCTTTCAGAAGCACTGACTCGGAGCGCATTACACCTCCTTCTTTTTTTCTTCATTGCTAATTTATTACGAAATAAAATAATTGCGCCTCGCAGACGCGTATATCGATGATAATGTTTACAATGTTAATTTATTTTAACTCAACCTGCACTTAACTATTATACACGTGCGCGCTGCCGAGCGACGAAGCTATTTCGCTTTGCAAATCGTATGTAATTAGAATACTAGGACATTTTTTTCTTTTTTCTTACGTAAAAAAAAAAGGCGAGAGCACGTATTAGAGCGTTGTCAGTTCTTCTTTCGACGAATATACGTCATCGCGATATACTTAGTTGGTTAATATCGATTATATATTTAATTAAGAAGAGTGTAGCAGTCAATTTTAATCAAGAAAAATGAGCAGACAATAGAACAGCAAGTGTGTGCGAGCCGACGAATCACAAAAGATTTTCTATTCAATGAACTGTCCAAAGACTCGAACTAGCCATTTGCGAAGGACATTAACAGTAGGTCAATCGACGCACATTTTACCGCCACCTTGAAATACTTAAAGATCGCGCGCGGCACAAACACCAACACCATCGCACAGCGCAGTGTTGTGCAGCTATTATGTTTCTCTCTATGATGCACTCGATGTACCGCCGCGCGTGCATGTGTGCGAATGCTTATATGGAACACTTTTTATTTCTTCGCGCGAATCATTCTCATGGCGTGATTAAATAATACTTATCCGCGCGCGAGTTATTTCTTTTTCCTTTTTTTTTCTTTGCTTCTCGTGAAGAGCGATCTGACGTCGATTATGTAATTTTAAAAGTTTACAAACGCTAAAGTGGCAAAGTACACACCTCGTCGTCGTCGATCGGGGGAAAAATTATAAAGTAATAATTTCCAACTCCTGTTTAACGCATTTTGCCCGCCGAGCGAGTAATACATATAAAAGTCGAAGAAAAAGGAACAACTTATACACACCCCATTAATACAAGCGCGCGATACACAAGTTTTATCTTCGCTTCCATCTTCTCTTCTCACGGGGAGGGAAGGAAGAAAAAAATAACGAGCCATTACTCGTACAAGCTCGGAGCTCAATTTTGCACTTGTAACTATCGATGTCGAGATTGCCGCTGTACACCATAATTTCTGTCGGCAGCAGGCACTAGTATTTTCTTCAAAACACGACAGTAACTTTCATCGATGTCATTCACGAGGGTGCTTCTTTTCGGGCGCGAATCAAAATTTCTTACGTGCATCCAATGATCGCGATCGCGTCGAGTGAATGTTCGACGGGGAGAAAGAAGAATTTCCGCAAGTAGTCCAGCTCGCTCAACGACGATGCGGTAGTAAACATAAATACATTATGTGGCGATGTAAAACGTCGTTATTAGATAAACAGCGCTCTCGAGGCACGAGCAAGAATTTAAATTCTAATTCAAGAGAGCTTATGGGTTATACATTGTAAAACACGCGAGATACATACACCTCCGTCGCTGGGCTCCTCTTTCGAGATCGTAATCCTCAATGACGACCAATTAAATTTATATAGCACGTCTGTATATACACACACACGCATGCACACACGAAGCACATCGGCATCAGCGCGTCGCGGTCGTGTTCCTCTCCATCAAGCTCGCCATAATTATTAAAATTTATGCTAACAGTGCCTATTTCTACATCGTCTCGCGTGTACGTATACTTATATTGTAAATGAGGAAAGAAAAACATAGCATCGGCATCGAGCTGCTTTGCCACATGTTAAATAATATTGCACTTTAAACCGGGTAAGTGTAACAAATTAGACCGGTATGTGCGTGGCACACTTGGCGTAAACGAAAAATAATAAAGCAAAATGTGAGACAACAGCAAAAAATTAATAAAAACGGATTGGCATACTTCAAAGTGCAGTTATGATGACGATCATTCGTTAATTACTGGTCTCTATCGCGAGCTTGCGCGGCCCGGCGATCGAGGATCGAGAACTAGATTGATGCGGTTTTAATGAGATAGTAAGAGAAAAAAGGGTCGCGGATGAATTCAACATGTGTCGGACGATTCGTATCAATTGATTACTTGTACTTATAAGATGCATCGAATAGAAATACTGGAGCAACTATGTGTACGCGAGTACTCTCGATTTTTGTTCCTCTCTTTTTTTTTTCCTTGCAATCAGGTGGCGGCTATACATTACACGTGAGATTAATCCGTGAAAGAAGCGTTGAGGTCGATGACGCGCACGTTTCGTGCATTTTTTTCGAGATCCTTATCTGCGGAGGTGATTCATTGTTGCAGCAGACGCGATGCTTTCCATTTCTTTATCTCTGAATTGTAAAAATTATATGCATGCCGAAGGAAATAAGATTGAATTGAATAAAATGTTGCCGACGATATATTTTAACAAAGGTTATCTGAACTAAATTTTCACATCATAATCAACAAGAGAAATGTTGTTATTTCAAGATCACATGTGAAAAAAATTAAAAACTCAGTCGTACTTACAAGGAGACCACCTGAATTTGCTTTTTAAAGAGTTCCCTTGTTCATAATAATAAAATTTTCTGTGCTTTAATTTCATGAGACTTAGAGGCCACTTCAAGAGTGATCATCTAAACTTTAGAATTTTTCAAAGAATACCTCTGAAGTTTTCCAGAATTTTTGAGACTAAATATCTCCTGTTTTCAGAGGTCCAAATTTTATTTTATTCTTGGGGATTATAAAGACCTCTAAAAATGGTGATAGTCGATCTATTCAGTATCTATTTGTTCAGT